TCACTTGTGATTTGATTTGGGCTCTGCCATTGCTGAAAGCAGCTTCACACCAAAGAACAAATACTCTCTTTTTTTCTTTCTTTTATAGTTTATATCCAAATTTTATTGTACGATTCGAACATTTAACAGTAGAAATGCTCCAACGGTAGATAGAAATCATTGATTTGTAACATTTCTTATTTGTTTAATCTCTTCAAAAATAAAATAAAAATATGCCTCAAGGCTCAAACATTAAAACGAGGGATAATATCGTAATGTGTGCTTATCCTATGTAAGTATGACGTGATGCTGAGAAACGTGATTGACTGTTTGGTAAAGTCAATCACTTGTTACAGTTTGCTCTGTCTTCTCTAATGGGCATATGGTTTGGTTTGTTTCAACTTAAACCAGGAACATCCTCTTGTTTTACATGGACAGGACCTTCATTCTTGAATCGCCGACAAGATTTTTCAGATCGCCTGAATCGCGTTGTTCCCTTTACTCAAATCCGAACCATTAACAGAGCCATTCGAGTGAAATGCTGATGGCCTTGAGGGCTCGCCTATTAGTTTCAAAGATAGGGGAGAAGGAGAAGTTTCGGTTTCATGTCTTGTCGCCATTCCTATGCTAAGCTGAGACATACCGACCAGCTCGTCCATGTTTACACGTTCTTTCGCGAATCCAGGTGTTGGTTTTAGTACCTGGTGCTGCTGAATACAGGTCTCAGCTTCTAAGGAATGTTCTGTTCCGTGAAGTGAAGTGGAAGCCGCAGGGAGCCAGAACGTGTAAGTGACTGGAAAACAAGGAGGAAAGAAGCCGCCCGGGACTAGCATTGGTGAAAGCTCGTTTGATGGTTCTACGGATTCTTCGGGTTTTTCCTGTGGTGGCGCTGTGGCTTCCACCGCTTCAGATTCCGTGGAATTATTGAGTGAGAGCTCTAGTGAAGGAAGGTAGGTTTTGTTTTCCGGTTCCTTGCTTGGAGAGGAACGGTTTAAGGTTTGGTCTTCTTGTGTTGGCGATGAATCGGTTACCTAAAGAAGGCAAAACAGAGGAGCTATTCAATAAAAGTTTTTTTTTTTAGCATTTCCATAGAATAAACACAAATCATGATAAAAATGATGCAAACCATTTCATCTGTAACCATGTCGAAGAGGCTAGAACGTCTTTTCCTGCGGCTGGAACTAGTATGGCGGATGAAATACTTTTGAGCATGACTCGCCACTTGTGTAGGAGTTCTTGATGTTACATAGTTTCTTGAAATACCGCGCCAATCTCCTTTCCCGAGTTTCTGAAGACCAACCAAGAATAGCCTGTGTTCCTCCTCAGTCCAAGGAACACCTGTATACATGTAAATCATATCACATAAGAACCCTAAACCTATAACCAGACTTAAGTTAAACAACATGATCCACAAATAAGATATGCATTGATAAGCATCCAAACACCAACAATAGAAACTAAGAATCCAACACTGTAAAAATTGTTGTCCTGCATCTACTTTCACTCCCAACAATTCCACTAACACCGAAGATTCAACCATTCAATCTCTTCTCCAATAACCAATAGCAATTTCAAAGTCTCACAAACATGAATGTAAAAACAATCCCTTTGCTTCACCAAGGAAATGAGACAGATAAAAGCTTATACCTTTTACACAACAATTTCAAATTTCAAACTTAAAGTTCGAAACTTTTGATACCAATTTGCAATCAGACTAACCAGAGATTCAAAGAAAGATAATCTCTTTACCTCTCTTTCTCTCTCCACGACGGTGGATAGACCCAGAACCATGAGCTGGATCATCGGATAAATACCCATCGTTATGTTGATTAGAGTATCTCGCGTGATCCGATAACGGCGAATCGTTGAGATTAGACGTCGCGAGAGGAGACGACGGAGATAAACGGTGGTGAGCCGCCGCAGCCGCCACGGCCAATGCAGAGAGATTACCCATACTCGCACTCTTTTTTATAATCGAACCATCCGTTAACCTCACGCCGAATAGCTTCACGGCGGAAGAAGAAGAAGAC